GGGGGGTCTGACGCCCTCTTCTGGCCTCTGGGAGCACTGCATGCTCTCCGAGCATATAGGCAGGGCACTTACACAGATAAACATAAATAAATCTTACAGGAAACTAGTTGAGTTCCTTCTCCTCTCCTCCTTTTTTTTTTTATTTCTCTCTTATTTGTTTTTGTATGTTTGCTTTTCTGTCTGAGACAGGGTCCTGCTATATCACCCAGGATGACCTTGAATTTGCAGCAATCCTCCTGCTTCAGCCTCCCAAGTGCTGTAATTATAGGTGTGGATCCTCTGTGTGCCAATGAAAAACTGTTCAGTCACCCTTGGGAGAGCTCAGGCATTCAACAACTCACCTTTAATTGGAAAACAAGAAAATTCCATCTACCTCAGAGTTTAAAATGGAAGTCCAGACTAATTTTTATAGGAAACAGAAGTCACATCTCATTCTTCTTAGGAAGATAAATTGGCATTTATTTGTCTTTTAAGACTAATAAAAGACTATACATAAGAGCTGGGCAGGGTATTCAAAACAAAACAAAACATGAGGGGCTGGGGCTGTCGCTCAGTTATTTGCCTAGAATATACTGGTTCCAGGTCCCATCCTCGGATCTACGTAAGCCAGATGCAGATGATGACTGCAGGACATAAGAGACAGAGGCAGGAGGAGTCCTAGTCATATTGCCTAGGATACATAGGAAGGCCCTGCTGTCAAACAATCAAACAATAGACAGGAGAATCCGTTTCATCAGCCTTTATGTGCTGGCTAGTTTTATGCCAACTTGACACAAGCTCTGGTCATCTGAGAGATGGGAACCTCAAGAAGATTGAGAAACTGTCTTCATAAGCTAGGGCTGCAGTCACGCCTGTAGGGCTGTGATTGATGTGAGAGGACTCAGTCCACTGTGTGTGTGTGTGGGGGTAACCCCTGGGCTGGTGGTCCAGGGTTCTATAAGAAAGTAAGCTGAGCAAGCCAGCAGCAACACCCGTCCATGGCTTCAGCTCCCGCCTCCAGGTTCCTTCCCTGTTTGAGTTCCTGTCCTGACTTTCTTTGATGAAGAACTGTGATCTGGAAGTGTAAGCCAAATAACCCCTTTCCTCTCCAAGTTGCTTTGGTCTGGTGCTTCATCACAATAATAGTAACCTTCACTAGGACACTTTGTAAGTCATGAAGGGAAACTAGGAGGCGGACATTAGGAAGCATCAGAACAACCCCTTCTCCCAAGGGCACGAGCTAACAACAGCCATACTCACTTGTTGGGCCTTGACTGGGTGAGGGCTCTGCCGCTGGCTTTTGACAGGCAGGGGCTGTGGGGTCTGCACTGGGGTCAAACTCTGCATCTTTTTTCCCGGTGGGGTGAGCACAGGAGCCAGTCTCAGGGAGTGCTGCTTTTTCACAGATGGCCTTCCTATGAGAGGGCGGCAGGAAACCACGATCAATTACTCCAACATGCCACTCTGGTCAGTAGGAAGGGAAGCTGGTCTCAGAGGGTGATAGGGAGGTTGGGACTGTTATTTAATGCATTGATTGATACGTCTAGGCCATGGCTCAGCTTTGCCTAGGGAAACTCCCATATGGCTCCAGTGACTCTTCCTGGGCTCCTCACTCACCTGGGGAATGCCTCAGGCAGCAGATACACAGGAGGAGAAGGCCAGCCAACAGTGCCAAGCCCAACAGGGAGCCAAGGACGATGCCAGCGATGGCCCCTGGACTCAGGGCAGAGCCTGGAAGACACACACCAAAAGGAGGCAGGGAAACAGGACCCAGAGATGCACTTAAGTTCATCTAAGCCCCCAACTCACTCTTCCTGAGAAGACCTATTAAACCGGACCTCAATCCCTGATACAGTCATGACAAAAGGGAAGAAACGACTCCCTCAAATTTTTCTCCGAACTCCATATACAGACATCAGGACACATGTGCATCCATCCACAAATAAACAAACTAATAATCAAATAAATAAAAATTGAAAAGAGACACGAGAGAATAGATATTTGTTCTTTCAAGCCAACCAGGTGGTAGGACATTGTCAAGGGAGACCCCACGAAGAATAACAGAAGAAGAGGGCCTGATACAAACAGACTAGGAGTGGCCGGTCAGGCGAGAAAGGCAGAAGGTACCACAGCTCAACCTACCTGCCTGGTAGACCCGGCTTTGGGATGGGGTCCCTGGCAGAGACCCCAAGATTGGCAAGATGCGAAAGGCCCAGGTCCCATGGTTCCGAGGAGGGAGTGGCACTATGGCTGATCGTTCCTGAGGGCCCAGGATGAGCAGGGAGACCCAGTCCCTACTCATGGTGACTCTGTCCAGGCCAGAGCCATCTGTCCATGCCTGGATGTGAAAGCCGGTGAGCAGGGTGCCTCGCTCCACGTCCCAGGTGAGTACTGCTGCTTCCTGGGCTCTCTGCAGCCTCCAGGAGGAAATGCAGGGCCCTGGGAGGAAGAGACGCTGAGGGTCTGGCAGGAGACAGGGAAGAGGGCTGGCTCTAAAAGAGGAGGGTTTGATCTGGACCACTAGATCTGAGGAAGAGGGCTGGGTCCTGGACCCCTGGGTCTGAGGGAAGGGGGGTTGGTTTTCAAACATCAGTGTTCTTGGTTTGGCTGGAGCTTACCAGTAAGGGTGATCTGGTTGCCTCCAGCGCCCAGTGCACTGCTGCAGAGCACAGAGTAATTCCCCAAGTCCCAATCCAGGCTGAAGTTGCTGATGAGGAGCTTCCGGCCATCCTGGCTAAGCCGCAGTCGACCCCCTCCTCCTGGGGCCAGGGGCCGCCCTTCCCGGGCCCAGGATGCTCTTGAGGGTGGGGGACAGCCAGTGGCCTCCAGTGCTACTACCACATTGCCTGGCTGTGTTTCCTCTACTACCGGCTGGAGCAGCACTTCCTCGGGGGCCTCTGTTGATCAAGACACCCAGTTCAAACAAACAAGACCTTATTGGATAGGAATAGCCAAGTCCTGTGCCCTTTGTTAAAGCAAAAGGTGGCAAATGTCCCTTCCTTCTCTGTGACCAGATGAGAAAGATCTGCCTAGCCACTTGTTCATTCACTCATTTTCTTGACAGTTTTTTAAAAATTTATTTATTTATTTATTTATTTATTTATTTATTTATTTATTTATTTATTGTGCATGTGTCTGCCCTGAAAGTATACAGAGATCAGAGGACAACTGCTAGGAGTTAGTTCTAGCCTTTCACCACCAGGTTTGATCTGGGGATCAAACCTAGTTCATCAGGCTTGGTGGCAAGTGCCTTTTCTCACTGAGCCATTCCTCCTACCCCATTCATTCATTCATTCATTCATTCTCCGACTTCTTCAGCACACATTTGTTGAATACATGTCATAGGACCCCAAGACTGGGAAACTCATGATTATTACTCTCCTCTCCACCCGGGAAGATGACAGCCCTCTTTCTGAGCCCAGAGGTGTGAAATGAAACACCCTGTTCCTGCTGACTGCCCACCCTGAAATGTAGGGCAAAACTTTGTTCCTCCTCTAAGATCAAAGAAAGCGATGTTTGAGCTTTCAGGAAATGGCTCAGCAGATAACTCAAGTCTGACGACCTGAGTTCAATCCCTGAGACTTACATGATGGAAGGAGAGAACCAGCGCCCAAAGAAAGGTAAGCTTGGCTTTCCTGAAACTAGTTAAGTTCTCGCTGGCCCTTTCCTTAAACCGCAAAGGACCAAAGAAAAATCACCCATTTCCCTTACAGAGAGCAAAGAGGCCCCGCCCCTCTCACCGGGGATGATCGTGCAGGTGCGTGTGGCCATCAGGTGGCGGGCCAGGCAGGTGACGGCGACCCCGCTGAGTTCCGGGCGGGCGGGGACAGCCACCGTGAGAGCAGACGGCGTCGGTCCCGCACGGACGCCTTCCGGGAGACCCTGGAACTGCAGGGCGGCGGCAGGAACCCCGCCGGGCCAGGAGCAGCGAAAGCGAAGACTGCGCTCCGCGGGACCCCCTTCCACTGAGCATTGTGGGGACCCTGGGGGCAGATCTGCCGCGGAGGAGAGACCGTCCAGCCTCAGCCCTGAGGGATGCTGCACGCCTCCTCCAGGTTCCTCTCCGCCTCTCTCCCTCCCACGTGGACTGGCGCCTTTGTCTCCCTTCCGCCCTCACTGAGCCTACTTACCAGCGGGAGAGGCTTGCTAGTCTTTTCCTCAAAACTCGCCCTGCCTTTCACTCCGCTGCTCACTCGACCGAGAAGCCTTCGTCCCCAGGACCGCCCACCCTCGCCTCCTGCCGGCTCCGCCCCTCCTCCTTGGCGCCCTCACCCCTTCAGTTTACAACCGGCAAACCCTCGGGGCCCTTCCTAAGCGCGGGACTTCGCTTGCTACGCCCGTGGCAACTGCTGAGTGCATTACCCTCCGACGTCACCCTTCCTCCCGTCCACGCCCACCCACCTCGTCCTTCCTCCTCCCGGCTAGACCCGCCCCATCATTACGTTTCTGCTCCGCTCTGAGGACGTGAATCTCCTCCAGGTGGTCCCACCTCAACCACGAATGTCCTTGTCCCTTCCTTGCCAGCTTAAGGTTTTCTCAGAAACTGCTAGCTAGCTCCGCCCCCTCCTGGGGGCCACGCCCAGCGGCTGCTGGCTCAGCTCCTCCCTCCCTGAAGGGCACGCCCCTCGTGCAGTCCGTCGTGCTGCCCGTCGTGCTGGCCCCTCCCTTCCCCGACACCCGTGGCTCCGGGTGCTGCCCCTCTTCCCGCTGGGTGGCCCCAGAGCTCTTACCAGCCACAGTGAGGTTGAGCACGGAACGCCGGCGGCGGCCGGTGCGGGGGTTCGAGGCGATGCAGGCGTAAGCGCCGGCGTGGCCCGGCCCCACAGCGGGCAGCAGGAGGCGAGGCCCCGCGGGCACTGCAGCCTCGGTGGGGTCCGCCAGGCTCCACGCGATGTCCGCAGGCGGCCGCGAGGGGGCCGAGCAGCGCAAGGTGACGTTGCTGCCCGCAGTGACGTAGAGCGCAGGGCTGGCGTCGCGGTCGGAGGAGACCCTGATGATGGGAGCATCCGGGCCGTCTTGGGAGGAGGGCGAGACAAGGGGAGCGGGACTGTAAAAACCTCGCAGACACCGGGCCCAGGACTCTCCGGGGACCCGGGAGACGCCCCCCTACTCACAGAAAACACTGACGTCCGTTGCAGCCTCGGTGTGGCCAAAGGGGCTGCGGACGTGGCAGGTGTACTGGGCGTGGTCGCTGCGTACAAGCCGAGAGATGAGCAGCTGGTTCCCTTCCGCGCGGATGCGAGGTGGCTCTGCGCCTTCAGGGTCTGGGGTCCCCAGGGCACGTCCATCTCTGCTCCAGCTCAGCTCCCCGCTACCTGGGTTCCACCCCACGCAGCTCAGCCGCAGCTCGGCTGCCCCCTCTTCAGTCTCTGGAGCCCTGGGCTGTACCGACAGCTGGGGTAGGGGCTCTGGAGATCCAGAACAGTCTTTGATGAGTCGGAGAGTCAATACGCCAGAACTCCCTCCCTGGGCCCCAAGTCTCTGCCTCCTCAGTCTTACCTCTTTCACCTAACTGCACCGGAAATCTGAGTTCTCAGTCCTCCTCCCTCAGATCCAGGGATACCGACCCCAGCCCTCCCTCCTCCAACCCGAGATACAGACCTTAGCCATCAAGCCATCAGGCTTAGGTGTCCAAACCCCAATCTTATTCCATTAGTCCCCGGAGTCTCCAGCCCTCCTCCTTCAGACTCAGCAGTCCAGACCTGAGCCCTCTTCCCTCAGACCCAGGGGTCTAGATCCCAATCTTATTTCCTCAGTCCCAGGGATTCAGACCCCATGGGTCCAGGCCTCTCTCAGACCTAGGAGTCCGGTCCCAGACCTCCTCCCTCAGAAATGATGGGGTCTTGGTGCCTGCCTCGGCTTCTATCTCCATCCCCAGGTTCTTTCCTCTGGGACGGAAGCATATTCACAGACTTGCCCATAGGTCTGTGAGGAGAGCATGCTCTACAGTTTACACTCTAGACCTCAGGGCCCACTTACCATACACACCCACCACGAACTCCCGAATCTGCTGGGAGACTCCTCCCCTGATGACCTCAACTGTGTACACCCCTGTATCATCCAGCTGGGCAGAGGTGAGCTCCAGACCCCCTCGAATCTGGTCAAATCTCAGGCGGGCTTGATGCATGGGGTCCAGACTGATCAGGGGAGCCTGTGACCCCAGACCCCCAGCTGCCAATACCTTGGAACCCCGGCGCCAGACCACCAGAGGAGCAGGGGCCCTGGGGCTGGGAACTGGAGTCAGGGGGAGCCTGATGGTGGAGCCCACTAGCACAGCCAGGGGTCCTCCCACCTGCTGGGGGAAGCTTGCAGCCTGGCGAGTCTCCGACAAAATTTCAGATTCCGGGTTCTGGACAGAAAGTTCAAGGTTCTGATGCTCTGGGGATAGCTTTGACCCTGGGGCCTTGGTGGACACTTTGGTGTCTGGGGCTTGAAATGATGTGTGTGAAGCTGGAGTCTTGACAGAGAAGGAAGGCCCAGAGTCTTTGGAAGGAGGGATTTTAGAGAAAGTGACATCAGGGGTGAGATGCTGTCCCCCGGAAGACACATTGGTCCAGAATGGTCCAGGTACATGGCTTGAATTCAGCCCCGGAGGAAACCAGCTCGAATCGTGGATTCCAGCAGAAGCTTCCGAACCTGGAGGTTGATCTGAAAAGTTCCAGCTCTGGGCCTGGCTGGAGGAGACTTCTGAAACAAAGCCCTGTGCAGAGTCTGAGGAGGAGGCAGAGGGTAGTTGAGATCCAGAAGCTGGCTGGAGAGTGAGGAGCCCAGCTCTGAAGGCTGCAGGAGGGGAGAGGAAGGAAGAGAGAACATTGAGAGAACCTGCCAGGGAGTGGGCTGCTAGGGAGGAGGGGGCACAGGGAACTTACCCAGGAGTAGGAAGAGAGGCAGAGCCAGTGAGAGGCCCATGGCGAAGGTTGCACTCTGGAAAGAACACTACACAAGAGATCCACAGCTTGCATCGTCCAGGTCTGACAAGTCCAGCAAGAATGGCTGCTTAGCTTCCTGGGTGGGGAAAGGAGACAGACCTGTGGGAGGTGCCAGGGTCCCCTGGCATGGTACGGTGGCTGAGTGGCCCACCCCACCCTTCTTGTCTTCAGCAGAAGTTGTATGGAGAGGCCCAGGCTGATCCACCACTCCTCACCCCCAGGGGAAGGTGGACTTCCAGCTGGAACCAAGCAGCGAGCCTGTGGGGACTGTGGAGGAAGACTTCCTTTAGGAGTGTCTGAAAAACCAGAGCCCCTCCTATGAGCTTCCTGCCTGGCTCAGGTTTCCTGCTTCCCAATCTTCTGGTCTCCACTCTGTCTTATCTACAGCTTCTTCTCTGACCCTGTTCCCTTCTCCGGATCTTTCTGTGACTCCCTGTGGTCCTCAGAACCAAGTCTCCAGTTGCTGTCTCTGTCCTAACCAAAACTCAGCTTCCATTGTCCAACACCTGCTAAACTCAGTACCTCCCTCTGACCCATACTTTCAAAATGGCTCCATCATTTATGCAAAGGCTGGGGAGGCTTCCCACTCTCTTCTTCCCTAGTACTGCCCTGGCTCTAAATGCTACCTAGATCTTGCTCTCCATTTTTCTACTCTTGGTGCCAACTGCTCAGACCTCATCCTCTTCATCTGCCCCCCCCCCCCACCTACTCTCTGCAACCTCCTGCTCTGGGTAAGGCCCCTCCTTGGCCAGCTGACCACCCTTCCCTCCATGTCACCATTCTGCCTGGCTCCACAGCATCCGCTGCAGACATCCTCAGTGGACTCGCCCACTTCTCTGCGTTTCAGCCCTTACCCACCTGAACACGGTGCCCTTCTGATGCCATCTCACCTGCCTTTGCCAGCATTCTTTCCTTTACCAGGAATGCTCTTTACTTCTCCAATCTGGCCACTTCATAACTGGTCCTTCAAGTCTCACCTCATTAACAGCCATAATAATGACAACTTAGGTTCAGCCAGGAACTATGCTGAATTCTATCTGTGTGTTATCATCAGGCTGGTTTCCTCTAAGTGTCCTCTGAGCAAGCTGTTTGGTCCTCACTTCACAGGCCAAGAGAAGATGATGATGTCTGGCCACATTTCCTGTGGGAGCTTGAAGAGCCAGAAGGAGAGGCTGTTCTTGGGTCAAGGCTGGTTAGACTGCTTAGTCCTCCACAAAGCTTTTCTTATCTCCCCTTGCTAGGCTTTAGGCCTCTGCTCAGCTCTGAACCTCTGAGACTTAGTACAGTGCTCACAGTGCTTGTGGGAGGCGTGGTCCTCACCATGCACTGAGAATGCTCTGTATATCATATACAGCTCCAAAGTGCTATATCTGAAAACCTTTTGAAAAAAAAAAATAATGCTTTCTTGGGCAGAGTGGCATACATCTTTAATCGAAGCTCTTGGGAGGCAGAGGCAGGAGGATCTCTAAGAGTTCAAGGCCATTGTAGTGTCTATATAGAGGGTTCCAGGACAGTCAGGACAGAAGAAAAGCTGATTAAAAAAAAAAAACAAATAAATTAATGTTAATAATAATAATAATTTAACATATTCTTTGAGAATTTAATATATTTTGATCATTTCTTTTCCTGCCTCCTAACTCCTTCCAGATCATCCCCAACTTTCTTACCCACGCATCTTTATGCTCTTCCTCTCTCATAAAATAAAATAATAAAATAAAATAAAGTACAGAGTCCATCTTGTGTTGCCTGACTATACTTGACCATGGGACATGCCCTGAGGTATGGATGATGTACCCAGCATCACTCCATTGAAGAAAACTGATTTTTCCCTGTTGAGTAGATATCAGTTATGGGCAGTTTCTTGGCTAGAGGTAGAACTTTGTGTTCATGTCCTATTTTCCATGCTGGGATTTTGTCTGGTTTGAGCTTGGACAGCTTAGACTGTGAACTCACAGTCTCTTGTGAGTTCATGTGTGCATCAGTCCTGTCGTGTCTTGAGAGTTCTGATTCTTTGGAGCTATCACCACTTCTGGCTCTTACAGTCCTTGAACCCCCTCTTCTGAATAGGTCCCTGAGCACTAAGGGGAGGGGTGTGCTATACATGTGCCATTTACACGAATGGATAAAGAAAACATATTTACACAATGGAAGACAGTTCAGCTGCCTGGAAAAATGAAACTATGAGATTGGTAGGTAAATGAATGGAGCTAGAAACAGTCCTCCTGAGCAGGTAACCCAGGAAGACAAACAGTGCCTGCTGTCTGTCATATGTGAATGTTAAACAGTTTTCAAGCTTTAGCTCTGTGCTTTTCACTAGTCCATGGTGAGCAAAGCAGGTCTGGTAGCTGTCACTCCATCCATCACTTGAGAGCCTGAAACTAGAGGACAGCTTGTTCAAAGTTAAAAGCCTCTCTGTGCTACAGGAGTTCAAGGCCAGAATGGGCAATTTAGTGAAACATTCAAAGAAGGGCTGGTGTGTCTTGGTGAAATAGTGCTGGCCTAACATGCATTACTTGAAGGGCTATATGTATGGCTCGGTGGCAGAGCTCCTACATAGAATCTAACAGTAAGGGCCTGGAGTGTGGCCCAGTGGTAGAGCCACTGCCTAGAATCCCCTAGTGAGGAGCTGGGAGTGTGGCTCAGTGGTAAAGCCACTGCCTAGACTCTACCAGTGAGTGGCTGGGGCATGGCTATTCCTAGCAAGTATAAGACTCTTGAGTTCAATCTTCAGAACTAAACCCAGACAAAGACATGGAACTGGCCTCATAAAACATGCCTGAAATTCCAGCACTTAGGAAGGAGGCTGAGGGCAAGCCTGGGACACATAGCAAGTTTCATGGCAGCTGGGACAAAACCAAGGCCCTATCTCACCAAGAACAATAGTATAAATAAAAATAAGGTGTTATTTTTAAACAAAATCTCAATTGTTTGATTTACCAATGGAGACTCAGGAGCCAGTTGCTGGGGTGAAAGCCTGCTAGCTCAGAGAGGCAGGGAAAGCACCCAGCTGACCTTCCTCCTCAGCTGACATCCCAAAATGAATCTCCTTTCCCATGCCACCTCAGAAAACCTTCAAACTGAATATCCCTTCATTCTACTTGTGTGTCTATCCATCCTCTCCTCTTACTCTCTGTGGTTTTTCCTATGTAACACTTCCTGCGCTCACATGATGGCTTATAACCATCTGTAACCTCAGCTCCAGGGGGTCCAGTGTTCTCTTCTGGCCTTCGTGGTAACTGTATACATGAATGTGGCACACACATACACATAAAATTTAAAAATAAATAATATTTTTGAGACAGGTTCTCAGGATCTTTCTGTCACCCGGGTATACTGGAACTCACTCTGTAGACCAGACTGGCTGCAAACTCACAGAGCTCTGCCTGCCTCTGCTTCCCTAGTGCAGGGAGGGGTTAAAGGTGTGCACCACTGTGCTCAGTAACAAATGCTTTAAAAAGAGGGTTTGGCTTAGTTAGTGTTTCTTTCACTTGTCCAGAGAAGCCTTTCTGCGTTGAATAGTTAATGCAAAGACTCATAATAGGTCAAAGTACTGAGATTATGTGACTTTTGAGTGCTCGGCCCTAAATGGGATGTCATTACCATTCCCCCTCCCACCTGAACATCACAGAAGAGGAGGCAGAAACAATGGAACAGCTAGACAGGCGAGGAAGTGCTGTGAAAGGCTGTCTTCTGGACGAACGAGGTGATTGTACTCCACAACTCAAAAACCATCAGTCCACATCACAGCAGACAGGACTGACTGGAATTAGTGGGTTTCAAAAAAATAATTTAAAAATTAGAGGGTGTGAAGATACGATGGGGACACAGTGGAGGACACAGGGTCTCACTCTGTAGTTCTGGCTATTCCGGAACTTATTACATAGTCCAGGCTGGCCTTGAACTGAGAGATCTGCCTGCCTCTGCCTCGCCAGTGCTGGGATTAAATGCCTGAACCCCATCATGCCTGACAAGATACATTGTATCCAGCTATGATACCTTCAAAAATTAAATCAAAGGTATTCTAAGGTTGGAGAGAAGGCTCGGGCTCAGCGGTTACTTCCTGCTCTTGCTGGGGACCTAGGTTTTCTCCTCAGCACCTGTGGTTCATAGAGGCCTAGCTCCATTGCCTCTGGAAAAGGCACCTGCTGTCGTGCGCATACCCTCCTGTCACATCTGCACATACTTACAATAAAGGAATAAATCTCTTCTTTAAAAAGGCTTTGGGGGAGGGCTCAGGCGGTTTGGCAGCTACCATAGTGAGAAGATGGCTGCAGCACATGTCCCAACTACAGCTTTATAAGCAAGCTAAGCCTAACGCTGTTCTAAGCCACGAAACATCCGGGTGACTGGGCATGCCACAAAAAGCAACTCATATCCATAGATAGTTTTCCTAATCCCACTTGATGAACTGGAACTTTGACTCAAACAATATCTGCCTCAGGGCCCTGGAGCTAGAAACCAGCCAGACATGGGATTTGAGTCTTCCAGCACTCATCTGAACTCCATCTTCCTGGGAAGCCAGGCTAGGCATCCCACCTAAGATCCCAAAGGCCTGTGTGCCTCCCCACTTGGCCCTTATCAACCTGTACTATAGTTGCCTCCACCAGCATCCATCCCTTTACTCTGAAGTCAATGGCAGGGATGTGACTCAAAGGCTCCCTAGCCTCACCCTGCATAGGGCCTGTCACATGGCAGATTTAGGTAGACATTTGATGGGTGAATCAAAGAGTGGATGTCCACAGAATGAGGAAACAGAGGTGGCAGCTTGGAAAGGCACAGTTTTATTGCAGAGTATCAGGGAGGGTCTCAGATCCGCCCCACTTCCTTCAGCTTGGCCACCAGGTCCTCTGTGGTCTCCACCTTGACTCCTGCTGAGCGCTGAGCGGGCTCCTCCACACTGATCACAGAGACCTTGGAGGTCAGGTCCACACCCAGGTCTCCAGCCTTCATCACTTCAATCTTTTTCTTCTTGGCTTTCTG